AGGACTGGAAAAGATCAGTCTACATCCCAATCCCAAAGAAGGGCAGTGCCAAAGAATGCTCCAACGACCATACAATTGCACTCATTTCACACGCTCAAAATCTTCAATGGTAGGCTTCAGCAGTATGTGGACTGAGAACTCCCAGAAGTACAAGCTGGAATCCGAAGGGGCAGAGGGACTAGAGACCAAATTGCTAACATGTGCTGGATTATGAAGAAAAAAAAACATCTACTTCTGCTTCATTGACTACGCAAAAGCCTTTGACTGTGTGGACCACAGCAAACTATGGCAAGTCCTTAAAGAAATGGGAGTGCCTGACCACCTTATCTATCTCCTGAGAAACCTATACGTGGGACAGGAAGCAACAGTAAGAACTAGATATGGAACAACCGATCGGTTCAAAATTGGGAAAGGAGTACAACAAGGCTGTATATCAGGGATGGGCATTTAATTTCTATAGGGGGGCTACATGAAAAATTTGAACTGTGCTCGGGGGCTGAACCAAGTTTACTTAAACATAAAATGAAACAGTGATGTTATGACTGTTTTTATTTTAAACTTGTTAATCTTCACAAATACTAAAGAGTTTTTTGTGGTATTTTAAGGATAAGCAACTGATCAACTTTATACAAAAAGCTATAAATGGTTTTGATGTTCAAAACTGTCCGCGGGCCAGAGAGGAGTGGCTAGCGAGCTGTATGTGGCCCTCGGGCCGCACTTTGCCCAGGTCTGCTGTATATTGTCCCTCGGGTTATTTAATTTATATGCAGAATAAATCATGCGGAAGGCCAGACTGGAGGAATTCCAAACCGGAATTAAACCAGAAGAAATATCAACAACCTCTGATATCCAGATGATACCACTCTGATGGCAGAAAGTGAGGAGGACTTAAAGAACCTCTTAATGAGGGTGAAAGAGGAGAGCGCAAAAAACGGTCTGAAACGCAACATCAAAAAAACTAAAATCATGGCCACTGGTCCCATCACCTCCTGGCAAATAGAAAGGGAAGATATGGAGGCACTGACAGATTTTACCTTCTTGGGTTCCATGATCACTGCAGCTGGTGATAGCAGCCACGAAATTAAAAGACTCCTGCTTCTTGGGAGGAAAGCGATGACAAACGTTGACAGCATCTTAAAAATCAGAGACATCACCTTGCCAACAAAAGTCCGCATAGTCAAAGCTATGGTTTTTCCTGTAGTGATGTATGGAAGTGAGAGCTGGACCATAAAGAAAGCTGACCGCCAAAGGATTGGTGCTTTTGAATTGTGGTGCTGGAGGAGGCTCTTGAAAGTCCCCTGGACTGCAAGAAGAACAAACCTATCCATTCTAAAGGAAATCAACCCTGAGTGCTCACTGGAAGGACAGATCCTGAACCTGAGGCTCCAATACTTTGGCCATCTCATGAGAAAACTCCCTGGAAAAGACTCTGATGTTAGGAAAGTGAAGGCAATAGGAGAAGGGGACGACAGAGGATGAGATGGTTGGACAATGTCTTCGAAGCTAGGGGGGCAGTGGAGGACAGGAGGGCCTGGTGTGCTCTGGTCCATGGGGTTAGGAAGAGTCAGGCATGACTAAACAACAACAATTCACCCTTTAATTCAGCAGATACCTCCATGCATTCAAAGTTATGATCACATTCAGTGAGGATTTTATTTTTACATACTACAGATCTGTATCTTGACATTAAACTTTAGTTTGAAGGTAAATCATGGATTCAGCTGAAGTGGCCACACCAATTCAGAAACTAAATTAAAGCTAAATCGTCGAATTGATTTTGTCTTGTTGAAGTATTTTGGCTTTGCTTAAGATTTCGGGCTGCTAACCGTTGCACGAGGAGCTACGAGAGTAAAAAGCACGGGGAAGGGGAGGATTCGCACACGTTGTTACTGCCTGTGAGATTAGCTGGGGAGCAACTTCATTCGGTGTGAAGGAGGCATGATGCCACTTTTAATACTACTGGCAACACCAACGAGCTTTCTTCCGTTGTGTTTCTACATCATGCAGCTTCAAATAACCACCCCTAAGTGACTTCCACCTAAACCTTTCCTTCTACGAAAGCCTTGCCCTGGCTCTTCAACCATCCCTTTTCTTCAAACGTACAATCCTAGTTCCGTGCCTTCGTTTCTTCCGCCGTTTGCTGCCACCCCCCATCCGATTATCCCGATTTCTCTGGCTTCCTACTTTATTCTCCGAAAACGTAATATCCACACGCCCGACCTTTCGTTCTCTCCACTTTTTAAATGCTTTAAAACTTTGCACGCGGAGCTCTTAAAACCCAGCTGGTAACAGGATTCATCGCATTACTACAAGGTTTACCTTCTCCTCTGCTTCCGCCATAATGATGCTGCCGATCACATGAGAGTTCCCGGAAGGAAGAAGCCGCTGGCATGCCGGGTAATGTAGTTTCCCTGCCAGGCTCCTGTTTCCCCGGTTCCTGAAACATTGCTAGAGATAGGCGTGCCGGCTCGCCCGCAAGATAAAGGCAGAAACTTAGCAGAGATGAGTTTGTTCGGTACAGTACTTGAAGCATGAAACAAAAATGCTCGGCCGCTATGGGGACGACTTGTAGCATTTGGGGGGACGGCCGTCTCAAACACCACAATCACAAAGTCGCGCAAATTTCAGAATGTTTGCTTAGAAATCAAGGGCGCACTGGGCTCAGTGGCGCTTGCTCCATAGGAAGTTCACAGGATCGTAGTACTATTTAGTGTTCACAGAATTACAGTCTTATTCCGCTTCTTCACATATACTTTTTTTAAGAAATGAACAGTACAGGTTAGAATTATTGTTATTACTTTTAGAAAGCACGTTTATAACTACCAAGTGATTTTCATGGACCCATAAATAGGGATGGGGCACTCACATCTATGTTATATTTTGCATTAGTAAGGAAGCTTTACACGAACTACGAACTGTTTGAAAGTTCTTGTTGCTGTTATGTATGGTCAAGTTGGTTCTGACTTATGACAACCCTACCAATGAGGAATCTCCAGAATATCCTGTCTTCAGCAGCCCTGCAAACTCAAACCTGTGGTTTCTTTGGGGAGTCAATCCATCTCATATTTTGTCTCCTTTTTTTCCTGCTACCTTCAACCTTTCCCAGCATTATTGTCTTTTCCAGAGGATCCTATCATCTCATCATATGCCCAAAGTAGAACAGCTTCAGTTTCAGCATTTTTGCCTCCAGAGATAGTTCAGGCTTGATTTCATTTCCGACTCACCTTGTTTGTCTTTCTGGTGGTCCGGGGTATTTGCAAAGCCCTCCTCCAGCACCACATTTCAAACCATTTTTTCCTGTCAGCTTTCTTAACTGTCCATCTTTTACACCCTTACATGATGATTGGAAACAGGGATGATCTTGATCTTTAGTAATTTATACCTGATTATCTTTTCCAGTTCCTTCATTGCTGTTCTTCCTAATCTCAATCTTCTCTCTGATATCTTGGCTGCAGTCTCCATTTCAACTGCAGTCCTGCTTTGGCACTTCTTTCACTTTCTCTAAAAGTCATTTCAAGTCATTGCTGCTTTCTGCCAGTAAGATGGTGTAATTTTGCATCTCTTAAGTTATTGATGTTTCTTCCAACACTTTTCACTCCTTCTGAATCTAGTCCAGCTTTCGGTATAAGTTCTGCATATAGATTGAACAGATAAGAGGATAAAGTGCAATGCTTTCTGGCACCTTTGCCTACAGGAAACCATTCTGTCTCTCCTTATTCTGTCCTAGCAGTAGCTTCTTGTCCGCAGTAGCTTTCTTGTTTGAAAGATCTGGAGTTCTTTTACTCCTGCTATAGGGGGAAGTTAAATAGTAATTGTGGAGGAGGAACTAGTGGGCACTCTCAGCTTTGTGGAAATCATCATGAATCACTTCTATCATTTCTGCAAGCAGCTCACAGTGTTCACTGTTTAACAACAAAGCAGAAGTTAAGGCAATACTGTTATTGGAAAGGAGTGATGGAGAAGGGTGTACATCTCTGCAGCTTCTGTCTGACAAACAGTTGTTAAAAGTACAGGAGCCTCCTAGATAAAAGATGGCAACTCTAGCAGGAAAGATAGCAGTTTAATCCAAAGTCCACAGAGTAGACAGAAATCTTAATTTTGCTTACTGTCACTTTGTTCCATTTTTAAATATTAGGCATCTGGAATGTTTGTCCTCTACCTTCATGTTATCTATATATTATTAGTATGTATTCTCCTTTCTGCTTTTCCTTGTCTCGTTCTGCTACAGTAAGCTTTGATAATTTTGCTATTCATGTTAAATAGATTACAGTCAAAACTCATTTGTATTTTACCTTGAGAAATGTTTTAGTTTTTTTCCTTTTCACACATATGTAAGGAGAAGTATTTAGCCTTCCACCTACTAAAGAGTTTGTGTTCTGCTGCAGAGAAATGATGGATGGAGGTTGTCAAAGCATCCCTCCAGAATGAAGACTCTGTTTCCATTTAGAATACTGCAAATGAAAATATCAAGGACCAGATTTAAGAAGGAATATACATATAAAGATATGGTGGCTTTTACAATTTTTAAATGTTGTAAATGTAATATTTGCTATTATTTTATACAGTTGTGTAGCTTTGATCTCATGTTATAGGTGTGATCATCCAAGACCGAGCACAGCTGATGGAATGCTGGGTGCAGCACTACTCTGAGCTATATTCCAGAGAGAATATAGTAATCGAAGAGGCATTAAATAACTGAGTGCCTGCATGTCTTGGCTTTTCCTGAAGAGGAAGCAGAGGCAGGAGGGAGCTGTTCTTGGGGGCCATTTTAGTTGGATAGCCAAATAGTATTTCTTACACCTGGCGGCAGGAATGTTTCAGGAGTAGGATCATACTTCCACACTATTAGGGAGCAGGCCGGGTAGGTGGGACTCGTCAGCCATGTAAGGCAGCCCATCTAGGAGAAGGAAAACTCTGATTTCAAACCTCCACTGCCTTGTGGCTATATCCACTCATGGAAAAGGCTTCAGGAGATAACCTCGAGGCAAAATCCGGAGCCGGAGTCCCGTAGACAGTTCGTGTTGTTCTGCCAACTCCTGCGACGTCGCTGGAACCAGTTGTATTGGCTCTTGCCTCTCCATTGGACTATTTCAGTGACGTGGAGAGGGGGGATTTGCTGCTTGGGTAACAGCCTATCCTCCATATTATTCTACCCAGGCTTCGTGCTCTGGAGAGGACACTCCAGCTT